CCTACCTCATATTGTCATGGAATTTGATGTGTCGATCAAAATCAACGGAGACAATCCGGTAAATTCAGCTCGAGTTCATTTGCGAGTTTTACCTGATTTGAGTAAAATGCAGATTTGAGCACATTTCATGCGAGGGCGATTCAATTGGAATCGTGTTTCATAAAACGAAGACGTCACAAGAGGGTAACGTTGTTATATATATATATATATATATTAGTATATGTTAGTTAATTCATGTCGTAGGAACGAAAAATAAGGACCCGAAGCATTGCTTTGCAAACCCTTTGAAGCCCCAGGTGTGTGTCTATTTGGCATTGGCAATTTATTTGGCTTGTAATTCCCAAATATTGCCAAGCAATCTGTTTCCTGGAGCGAAGCAAAAGGTACAACGTAGTAATTATTTTATTCAAGAAAGAAATATATAAATTTATAGTTACTATTCTATTCGAGAAATAAAGTTATGCATTTAATAGCTATTAGTAATTTAGATATAAGTTCCCGATATAGTTATTACTACGTAGTAGTAATTCTCATCGATGATATATTAGGACCGATTTGGCAAAAGCCTTGGGCGGATGCTGTCAACTCCACACGGTGGAAAAAAGCCAAACGACATTGGAACACACTCTATTCGAAAAGGAGCTGCCACGTTTGTGTCCTCTGGGAGTACTGGTGGTCCGTCTATTGTGAGTGTGTGCTTGCGGTGTGGGTGGTCCTTGGGGAACGTTATGGAACGTTACTTTCGCTACGAGGCTGCCGGTGACCAGTTTACTGGTCGTGTAGTCGCCGGATTGCCTATCAACAGTGCTGATTTGTCCATGTTGCCCCCACATTTTGCTGTAGCCCCAAACCCTCTGGTTTTGGAAACAATCTCAGTGTTATTTCCAAATTTTGCCCATCACGACCACATGTCTGGCGTCCTGCGCCTCCTTTTGGCGAGCTTGGTATACCATTACGACTTTCTCGTGGCCCAACTGCAACCCAACCATCCTCTTTTGTCCACTGCCTTGTTCATAGAACCCGGATTTGCGGCATCTCTTCGTTTGTTTGTAATTTCTGGGCTCGAGTCGCAGTGTCTCGTGGCATCTGGCATCCCTCCCCACGTCGAGTTGTTGCGTCAACTCGATAAAAACCAAAAATCAATCCAAGACATCTCGAGCATTGTGCTGTCTGGAGTTCGAGAAATTGTAGACGAAAAGGAACTTGCTGCCGGCAAAATCACTCGGGAATTCTTTCAAAACACCCTTGAAAAGGCCATCGCTGATGTTGTTGATGTGGCGCGTGCTGTATCAAATCCACATCGGCCGCATGCCGACGAACGTGCCTCTGACTACCCTGTACACCATTGGGGTGGTCAATTGCATATGCTACCAAAGGACTTCAAGTTCCCAAGTGTGGACTTGGGCACAGCATGGAGTTTATGGTGGCGAGGTAATCCATCCCAAAAGGTGCCCCCATTCCGTAAAATTTGCACTCGTGACTTGTCGTTAAAATCCGAGTGCAAAGAATTTTACGAATGGAAGTATATTATGGGAAAGCTGTCGTCATACTACACTGCTCAACATGGTAACGGCCCCAACGCCACGGCAAGCCCCGAGGAGCTTATTGCCTCGTTTACCATTGCAAACCGTCTGTTGGACCCAATTCGGTTGACAACGACAAAGAAGCGAACAAGGCGTGGTGGCCAGCTCCGTGTTTCGACCGCCGCCAGGTTGGTTCGTCAAATGGAGCCACCGGCAAACCAAAGACCGTACCAGAAGCGCAATAAACGACCTCTTCGTGCCTAAGCGTCAATATAGGATGCATTATTAATACAGTGATCGAAATAAAGATATGACACCCATTGGTTTCTCCAATTTCCTCGCTTCCATTGGCCGAAACGGCCTCCAAACTTGGCCAATCAAAAGGCAACTTGGTTGCAACCCAGCGGTCATTGCGATTTGACAATCCGAGGTCTTTCACTCGAGCAATTGGCGGGAGATCAAATAACCGCGAGAAACATTAATATGACCCTATGAATGTAAGGCAAATGGCATCGATAGTGTACTCACACATCACACTCACGCAGATATACTCCTTAGACGCCACAGCCATTCCCAGAGGAGACCTTCTCTCGGACGACCAGAAGTTGGAGATCCTGGTCCTCCAACGCGAAGGCCACAAGGCACGCTACATCGCGAACAAGCTCGGCCGCTCGCGTGGATGTATCCAAGGGTTCCTTCGCAGTCCGTCAACGTACGGCACCGCTCGGTCGCCAGGAAGACCTTCCACCGTCAGCCCGACCCTGCACCGCCGACAGATCCGAGCTGCCCGTACAGGCAAGTACACGGCTTCCGAGCTCATGGAACGGTATTCGCTTCCTGTAGGCGAACATCGTGTGTGCCAGCTACTCAACAAGTGCGGGAAGCTCAAGTATAAGAAGCGACTTGCCGCGCCAATGTTGACGCGGGCACACCAAAAGGCCCGTGTCAAGTGGGCCAAGGATGCGCGGGAATGGGGCCGCAAGTTCGAAGACATCATCTGGTCCAACGAAAAGAAGTGGAACCAGGACGGGCCAGACGGGTTTAGCTTCTACTGGGCTGACGTTACTGGCCGCCGCGAACACTTTTCGAAGCGCCAAAATGGGGGTGGCAGCGTCATGGTTTGGGGGGGGGTTAGCAGCCACGGCAAGAGAGAGCTGGCCTTTCTGGAGGGCAAGCAGAACAAGGAATCATACATTGGTACGATTTCCGACTTCATGCTCCTCTACGCCCACTAGAAGCATCAAAATGTCTACCAGTTTCAACAAGACAATACGTCCATCCACACGGCGGGCGCCATATTGGAGTGGTTCAAGGAGCCCGATATTGCCGTGGATGTAATTCAGTGGCCGGCCAAGTCACCCGACTTGAATCCAATCGTAAACCTGTGGGGAATCATGTCCCGGAAGGTTTACGACAACGGCCGGCGTCAGTTTTCGAAGAAGGCCGACCTCATCGCCTGTGAGCGCCAAGTTTGGGATGAGATTGGCATCTCGTTGCTCCAGAAACTCGTGGCTGGGATGCCAAAGCGATGCGATTTAGTTGTTGCGAGCAAAGGTCGCAAAATTAAGTACTAACTGTAAAGACTCGATTTGCTGAATGTGTCATATCATTATTTCTTCGTCAATTTTCGTGTCTTGGGTTGTGGATGCACAGAAAGCCGTTATAACTGCCCCAGTGGCAACGAATACGCTCATTACAAGTGTCTATTGCTATTGAAGTAGTTCCTCAATCGTCGAACGTTGTTACTGGACTTCGTTATTAGAAAACCCTAGCGGTCATATCTTTATTTCGATCACTGTACATCTTCCTCGCCATTCCAGCACGATGGCGTGCAATACAGTACTAAGAGCATCTCCACCGCACCTCCAATTGGTCTGGTTATTTTTGGGACAAACCAGAAATAACCAAAATACCCAATTCTTCATCTCCACCTCGATCCCTTTAAAATAGAGAGACCTCAACTTCTGGAATGTAGAATCAATAAAGATACCTTCGAGGTCTCTTTATATTCCAAAATCCAATAGTACTTTGAAGTAAACAACTTTTGCACCTATGGTCATGTGCTGCAAAACGTAGGTGCGGGGCATGGTCGTACTACACGCCATTGAAACGAACGTCCACCTCAATGGTGGCACTGCTATCGCAGTAGTACCTCGTTGGCTCAAGTAAAATTACTATTATTGTAATTGTCCAGCGCTTTGAATTATTTTCTGTATATAATTGTCAATTAGTTTTTCCCATCCCCTGGTCACGACGCAGCCCATCATCATCGTCGTGTAAGTACCATTGTCGGCATGCCTTGTGGCTGCAGACGAAGCTGTACTTCAATTCTCTGCCGATATTCTTCGTTGTTTTCCATGTACTTTCTGGTCTCGGCAGCGATGGCGATCGTTAAGATCGTAAATGTAGCCACAGTCAAACCCGTCCGCCGCGCCGCGTTTGAAAGCGATAGCGAAAGCGACGACGAAACAGATCGCTTGACGAAAAAACCCAAGAAATCGCCAGGCACGAAAGACGATGTCAACGTTTCTCGTGTCCCAGGCGACGACTACTTTGCGGCATGGAATGCGTCGGATGTCCAACTCGTAAGCGGCGACGAGACGAGGCCGCTTCGCTGGCGCCTTTGAGTCTTCCTCATCATGTTATTGCGCCCCACGTGACCTCCAAGTACGTTGGGTTGGTTGCCCAGAACTTAACGTTATAGCCCACGTTTGTTGAGTCGAATGCTTGAGCATGTAAACATGCCTATATCGTGGCAGTCCTTCCACCCTCAAGTACATCCATCGAAGGAGTGCCGAATGTTGGGTTTCTGACGACGCATCCCGTGGTTGCTCCTGGCTTTCTGACGTCGATTGTGCAGACTTGCGTTGACGAGGACGGGACGACGGTCATGTGGAAGCAGTCGGTGCTGTCGTTCAACGGGTGTCAAGAACTCTCGGAACATGGCGCTGGAAAGACGCCGCCAGGTACGGCGGTATGACATGCCATGGCTTGAATCTTCCTAGAAATGTGGACAATATTCTATTTTTACTTATTTATGAGGTTCTCATCGGCGAGTTATTTACTTTTGTGGAAGTCATGCACGTTGTATCTATTCACCATCGTGTCTGCAAAGAATAATTTATTCCCATGTTCCCCTCAGACGAATAACTTACTCGAATAATTCAAACACAATGGACAAACTGTATTATTAATCGATTAAGAAAAACATACCAGTAACTAGTTCCTTACTCCAAGGTACAAGTAACTAGTTCCTTACTCCAAGGTGCGCATCATCGCTTGAACGTCTTCGGTGGTCCAAAAATGGATGTTCGCGCGAAAAAACATTTACTCTTCAAAGTTCTTCGGTGTTATACTGCAGCGGCGATCCCCAACCGCCAACTTCGTAGCCGAGAAAAAGCGCTCGCACATGTTGGATGTGGGGCGCAGGAAGCGGCAATCCTTGTAAACGCTTGGGGCTCGCATGACCTTCTTCTTCTTCAGCGCACGCTCCGCCAAAGACAACGCCGGCACAGCAACACCTTCTTCGCTGCCTTGGCTTGCTTGAGAATCCCGTAACGCCTTGATGGCTTCAGCTTCAACGTTGGTCAACGACGCTTCGCTTTCCAGCAGAACCTTGACAACGCCGTCTTCAAACGCTGGATTCTTCACAATGGCCGCGCTTCGGCCCAATCGTGCGGCGGCATCCGGATAATCTTCGATTACGGTATCGAAGATTTGTCGAGCGTCAAGCAAGGAGCAATCTTCGGATTGCAGCGCCAATGTAATCGCGTTCAGGTCTTCGAGCTTTGTGAGTAATGCGGTGACCTCGCGATCTTCAACAACATTGAGTCGTAAAACATCAATGTTGTTGTCATTAATATCAATCAAAAATGATTTGATTTCATTATACCGTTTCAACATACTGTACGTCGAACTCCAACGAGTACTGTTGTTAGTCTTGGCCACCAAGGGAGTTAGACGGCGTAGACGGGCCGCCGGTAGCGTGAACCGTAGCTTCGTCATCAACTGATTGACCTTGTCGATAACATCGGCGTGGTCTGCCAGCACGTCTGACATGAACAGGTTAAAGCGGTGGCTGGCACATCCAATCAACGGCACCCCAGCCCGACGAGCAAACGCCCCATTTGTGAAACAATTGTCCCCGATAAGTGCGATAACATTGTCCCACGTCTTGATATACAATTCCAGCACAAATTACGTAAATTCGTAGTGGGCATCCGCACTTAACGACTCCTCGTCGTTGATTGGTGCAAATGCCAGTTACGTCCGCGTGTAGCCAATCGGATCGCTCGATGGAAATGTTGCAAAAATGGCAAGGTAGTGCGTTGACCCGTGGGACCACCCGTCATGGACAAGAGCAAACTGGTCGGGGAGCTGACTGGCGATCTTGCGCTCAACGTGAGCGCAGAGAGCGTGCATGTACTTCATAAACGAAGTGG